AAAAATAAACGAATAATGATAAGTCATAATATTTTAGTTTCGGTAGTTGCAGTTGGTCGATATTGAGAATGAAGGCGAAAAGATCACCTACTTATTTTTAAAAGAATCTTCTCAGCATTACTTCAGTCCCACTGACTATGAAATTCGTCGGCAACAGAATATGTTTACCCCAAAAGAAAACAAAAAAACTAACAATAGGTCGCCATCTTCTTTATTCCCATCAGTCACAGTTCATCGCAGCTCGGATTCCTTCTCCTTATCTTCCCCGATGTACAGACTCTCTTATGCCAAATTCATTCTAAACCATGATCTGAGTCCTCCACTCTCTCTCTCTCTCTCTCTCTCTCTCTCTCTCTCTCTCTCTCTCTCTCTCTCTCTCTCTCTCTCTCTCGCTCTCTCTCACTCTATCTATCAATCTCTCTCTCTATCTATCAATCTCTCTATCTATCTATCTATCTATCTACCTTCTTTTCTCTCACACATTCTCTCTTCCCCTCTCTCTCTCTCTCTCTCTCTCTCTCTCTCTCTCTCTCTCTCTCTCTCTCTCTCTCTCTCTCTCTCTCTCTGGGGGCTTTCGTGGCTTAGAGGTTAAGGTGTTCGCCTCTCATTCAAAGGTCCCGGGTTCGAATCCGGGTAAGAGACCGAAACATTTTTTCTCTAAAATTGTTTCCTGTCACCTCCTTTCCTGCTCTCTACCAATATTATGTCGTCTGCTTTCGTCTCCACTTTCTGCCCTTATCCCTCACCTACTTTGCCCCCTCTTCTGGGCTCTTTCTGCAGCCTTTCTACTGCTACTAGCTGGCTCCTCCTTACTGCTGTCTTTCAGCCACACCCCTGATCTTCTGGTAGGAAAGATTTACCCCTAGCCTTCTCGGACAAGGGTGAAAAATCTCGGAGGTCCTTTGTGCACGATGCGCACGTTGAAGATCTCTTGGTGATCCAAAATCGATTTATTATAAGAGTAGTGTTCAGCCGCCACATGGGCAAAATTCAAAATTGTCTACCAACTGAAAATGTTTAATGTGTCCCACGCGCTCATATGACCTTATGCTGTTGAGAGCGCTGTAAAACACTTACAAAAAATAATTAAGTAATCAAACAGCTATTTGGGAACGGTTCAGAAAGTACAAGGTCTTCAGATATATACTGCCGCTACAGGAGCCCTCTTGTGACGTCAAAGCCAGTAGGTTCACACACTGAGTAGCCATCCATCCACGGGGGAACTTTCGTATATGTGTAATTATAAGTGTCGGGGGGCATTAAAGGTTTGCGATTGTAACATCATAAGACAGGAGCAGGAAGAGAGCAGGAAGAGAGCAGTTTGAGAGAGTGTTTTTCAGCCACTTGGGTGTCGACAAAAAAAACCAACTCCAAAACCAACAAACAACAACAACAACAATGAAAAAAATCTGTCGAATTTTCCAAACAAGCTTCGTTGGTGTTTCGCTTTTCGTTCAGGTCATTTTCGCGCTGCTCAGATACTAGAGAAAAAGAGAGGGAGGGAGAGAGAGAGAGAGAGAGAGAGAGAGAGAGAGAGAGATTGTCCGTCACTTTCCGGATTTGAACCCGGGACCTATTGAATGAGAGGTGAACCCCTCAACCTCTAGACCAAGAGAGCCCCCTTAGAAGGTCCAAAGAGCCCCCTTTAGAGGGCTCGTGTCGCAGCAGCATCAGAAGACCTTGTACTGTCTGAACCGTTCTCTACAGCTGTTGGATGTCGTCTGCAATTGAAAGAAAAACTTGTGTGAAGTATCGCTCTGATTTCGGAGGCAGTAAAACGCCACATTAATTTTCACAGAGCAGATTTTCTCCTTCGCTTAACTAGGATTGCTGTAGCAAGCCGAGCATGTGTGCGTAATGTGTGCCTGCACTAGACAATCCCTTCCTTCCTTCCTTCCTTTCTTTCTTCCTTCCTTTCTTTCTTCCTTCCTTCCGTCCTTCCCCGAATCTTTGTCGGAGGTAGAATAGAGATGAGAGGATGGTTAGATAATAGAAAGGGGAGTGGGAGGAGAAGAGGATGGCGAGAGGGAGATGTGTGTTGGGGGGGGGG